TCGGGAGACACGTCGATTCAAATATCGAATCCAAGTTTAAGTCTCGACACAACCGGTATGTCGGAGAACACCTAAATTACTAAAAATAAAATTTTTTGACTAACAACGATTCATATTAGAGAGGAGACTTTGTTAAAAGTTTTAATAATTTTTATTTTTTTATTTTTGTTATTTTTTTTATTTGGTGGAAAATCATTGTTGACGTCGGCCATCGACAAGAGGAGGGGGTCGAAACAAAGGAGTCACCACCTAGCTAATTGGGGAGAACTAGGAAATCCTAAATATATTGGTCTACATGGATATCCGGGCAAGGGGTCGGTTACGTATGGGGAAGACATGACGTCACTACCATCCCGTCCTACCTAAGGTAGGTTGCATTGTTTGTCCATGAATATAAAAATTTTGATTTTTTTATTTCGTTATACTTCTATGCCTATTCAAATAAATTTATTTAGTGAAAAATTTGAGACGAGATGATTCGGATGTAAAATAGGGTAGTTTGGGCATTCGGATCGATCCAAGACCAATACGCCCTACCCAAATGAATGAAAAATAAATAAAAAAAGTGAAATTTTGGCTAATCATTAGAAAATACGCTCTATTATCAATGAATAGCTAAGTTTCTAAAAATAAATAGCCTTTTATTGGCATGAGTTGTGAGTCACCGGTGACTTCACTCACATGAGTGGGAAGCCACGATGACTTCGAGTCATGCATTTAAGAAGTTATCGATAACTTAGTAGCAAGTCACTAACAACTTCATGTTGCTCCGAGTGAGGAGTAGATAACTACTTAGAAGCCACCTAGCTGCTTTATCACATAAATGAAAAGCCACCGACAACTTTGTTTTAACAAAATAAGCAATAAAACCTAAAAGCTGGATGGTAAACAAAAATCAAGAAAAACAGGGATCGAGTACTATACAAAATGATTTTAAAACCACCAACGGCTTCATCACATGAGTGGGAAGCCACCGACGACCTTCTTATATCATTGCAATCAATCATGGACGATCAATTAAATCGTAAAAATAGCATAAATGTTGTGTTTAAATAGGTAGGCTTGATAACGGGAAAATAGGATATTCTATCAATCATTGCAGCGATATTTCATTTTAAACGCATTTAATCCATAAATGTGGAGCCACATATCATAATTTCAAATACATCCAAATACATCAATCATTTTTAAGCTTTTATTATGTTTTCCAAAATGTCATGGTTTTAGGATTTTTACCCAAAAGTCTTGAAATGTCGATGTTTGATCGGGAGTCAATCCTACCATCTTCGTTCTCGATGATAATCGAATATTTAACTAGCGAAGAAAGGAGGATAATTGCTGGTTGGTAATATGGGGGCGAGTACCACTAGGATGGTCAAAAAAATCTTCCTTTACTTAAAGGTGTTGTAAAACTTGCGAAGTTACCGAAGGCTTCAGTGAGTTCCGTAGCTTGTTCTCTTGTCAAAAAAATTGAGCAAATAGTCTACAAAAGTCCGTTGTTCCCGCCAACACAATCCAACATAACCAAATTTTTTGTAGCTCTCCTTTAATTTTTTTTTTGCTCTTATTTCCTCTTTTTTGAATGTTTAGGAGGCTATTTTGAGGGAGGTTTTATGTCTATTTTGGTGGGTGTTTTCGGGGATTTTTTGAGTTTTTTTGAAGTTGGTTTGGAGGTGTTTTTGGCATTTAAAAAGTTATTGATAACTTCATCACAAAAGTGGCAAGTCACCGACAACTTCATCACATGTCAATAAGTATAGTATGAGCACCAAACACCGACAAGAATGTTGCAAGAGTTGCCACTACCGGAGTGGAAGTAGGAAAGAGAGACAATGGACTTTGTGACGGGTTTATCTAAAACCCAATGAGGGTATGACTTAATTTACGGATTGATTAAGTCCGCCCACTTCTTAACTATAAAGACTACTTATAGATATGCTCAATACGTCCAATTATACATTAATTGGATAGTATCCTTACATGGTATTTCGATCTCTATCATTTCAAATCGAGGTACTCAATTTACATCTTGATTCCGGAGGAAGTTACGAGAGGCACTTGGTTGGAGAATAGATTTCGATACGGCATTTCATCCTCGGAAAAATGGTTAGTCGAAAGGATAATTCGGACCTTAGAGGATATCCTTAGGGCATGTGTGATAGATTTAGGAGGTAATTGGGATCATCACTTGCCATTAATCAAGTTCTCGTACAATAACGGTTACCATTCTAGCATCGATATGGCACCATATGAAACTTTATATGATCGAAAATGAAGATCGTCAATATGTTAGGCCGAAGTTCGGAGAAAAAGAAACCTTAAGGCTCGAATTGATTCAGCTTACTACCGAGAAGGTAAAGTTGATTCAAGAATACCTTACGACTACACATATTAAACGGAAGAGTTATGCAAATCCTAAGAGGAGACATGTAAAATTTCAATTTTTTGATGAAAGATTTAAAAAAGGCTTTAGTTTTATTTCATTTAATTATGAATTTATTTTATATATGTTTTTATTTTATGTTTAATTGCTATCTCAATGTTTGAATTTTTAATACTTAATTAACGTAATTTTAATTTATTTTTTTAATAATTAGACTCATTAAGTAATAGGTGAATGATTGTCAAGTCTCCTACTTCTTTAGGGGTCGATGACAATCTTTCATAAAAAAATAAAAATAAAAATAAAAAATAAAAACCATTAACAAATATCATATATGATAGAGATTGTTATTAGCCAAAAAAATTATTTTTAATAATTAGGTCGTTCTCCGACACACTTGGTTGTGTTGAGATTCAAAAAATGAATCCGATGTTTGAATCGACGTGTCTCTTGACGAGGAGGTCGGACAAGTGTTTCAATATGATGACACACTCAAAAATACAAAATTTAATTTGGCTTGTAAAATTTTGAGTTTTAAAATCAAAAAATAATTTGGCACAAGCAAAACACTTCGGGAGATAAATTTTAGGACTAAATCAAACATTGCACCTTTCTTTAGAAATGACACTTTTTGGTGATTAAATATATTTACAAAAGCGTTACCAACTCCTTATCATAGAATCTCTAAACAAGTGTCCATTTTAGGTTCCTCATAACCAACTAGGTGGCGACTTCAAACATTGTAAATATTTATGTAAAACTAGATCTTAAATTAGAGATTCTTTTCGAGAATCTCATTCGACATCGAGTAGTGACACGAGTGATAATCTATAAAGATTTTTTTCTACATTATGAGTTACTAGTCCAATTACAGCACGAGAAATAGAGAGTATTAATCGGTCATTTAGCCTCACCTTCAATAAAAGCATATAATAAATACTTTTTTGCATTACGGGTAACTTGAAGATGGTCTCCGTTTAAAATACTATTGGCAAATCCATACCTTGACATGGATATATGCGTTTGCTTCCTTTACAAAAGAACGAGGAAAAGGTGGGGAAGTTTCGAGACATTTTATAATACACAAGGAGTAATTAATGACATGTGCAATAGTTATTCCATGGATCCGCTTTTAAGAGAGAAATAGACACATTGAATTGCATCCGGACCCACCAAAAGTGATAAGAAGATTTCCACCTTCGCTCAATTTTTTTTAATTTGCTCTTTCCTTTTTTTGTATCTATCTCTCTTTTAAAAGTGAGTTCATAAAATAACTACTATACATATTACACTCTATGCTTATTATAAAATTTCTTATGAAGTTTCTACGTTATGAGTTAAATGCAAGGACGCCATCCTTGATTTATACAAAACGGGCAGCCCATCGTTGATGACCCAAATTTTCAAATGCATAAGCAAATACCCTTAAATACAAAGAAGATGATTCCAGGACATATTATTTCCAACTACAACCCAATTCTCAATTAGGTTCCAAAAGAAAAACAATTATCAATTGGGCGCTCATCTATTGCACATTACCTAATAAACCGCTGTCTTAAAATATTTTTCTCTTCAACAAATGGAAAGGACCTGGTTGTCTCAAAGATGTCTCTTTTATCATAAATTTTAATGGTGATGTTATTGTGTCTCTTTTATCATAAATTTTAATGGTGATGTTATTGGGTAATGTTTCGTAGATGAGGGATCCATTTTGGAGTTTATTTTGTTTGGGGACTTAGTTACAGTAATGTGATAGTTGGAGGACAATCAGGTCCTTTTCCCAAAAAAAAAAAAAGTTGTGTATGGGCTATGGGCTGTACAATACAAGCCGATTTATCACAAGAGGGTTTGGGAAAGATAAGCAGGGAAGTTATGCCCACAGCAAATTATAAATTAGTTCTTCTACTTTCATAAAATAAATTAATTAGCTTCTTTAGTTTCAAAAATATAATTAATAAGATCTAAATTTTTATTTTTTTCTAACTTTCAATTGTTTCTCATTAAAAATAAAGAGAAAGGGGTTAATTAATTTGTTTCTTGAAATTAGAGGGAATAGTTTATAATTTACTGGCTGATTCCCATAAGAAAGTTTTTTTTTCATATTTCTTGTCCTTTTTAGTAAATTATAAATAAGTCTCTTTATTTTTTAAAAAACCAATTATTTAGTCCATTTTGTTTCAAAAACTAATTATTTTCAAAAAATAAAAAAATAATATCATCTTTTCCCATCAATCATTTCAATTTTTTACTTATTTTTTCTCTTTTTCTATTTCTTAAAAAAATCAAAATAAATTGCAAACAAACTGAAAGGATTAAGTTACAAGAAAATTTAAAATTTTAAAAATATTTTAGTTTTTGAAACAAGAGAAACAAATTAATTCATTTCTCAAAAACAGAAGAATTAATTTATAATTTACTACTTACTTATATTATCACTATTATTTAAAAACAAATAATTAATTTTTACTCTCAATCAATGTGTAATTTGTTTAAATAATTAAAATACAAAATTAATCTTAGATCAACCATGGAAGAATAAACAAGATTGTTTGCTCCGTTCACAAGAAGAAAAATTGAAATTTTATTATATATATTCATACAGACAAAAAAAAATTAATTAATTCGAAAATTCAAAGACTACATCAGATTCTAGCATCAAGTTTATCACCACCAACTGTTTAGCCAGATTTTGTCTTTCAAGAGTCTTGAAATCAAAGATGCAACAGTGGTTCCTTGGCATATCGATGATCCCCACAGAAGCACTTGGACCCCGACAATCCAACTTTCTTGTTGCAGCATTCGCATCTATTCTCATGCTAAGGGCTCTTATCATGAGCTGGTGGGGTACTGATGAGAGGTTCAGAGAGTTCTTTGGCAGTCTCAGCAATTGCCACTTCTTTGAGATAGTTTTTGTAACAATCTGAACACAGATTTTGGTTCTCTGGAGAGCCAAAGAAGCCGCAACCCTTAGCACACAAAGCAGGCCGGAGTCAAGTTGTCTTGTGAACCCATCAATTCTTTCTTGATGATTAGATCATGGCACGTAGAGCTTGAGAGTTAACTGACAGATTTTTTTATTCCTTGCGATATGGCCTTTTGAATGGGTTGCATGTATATATAGTGAGGTGAATTGTAATGTATTTTGATCCCTTTTGGATTCGGTTTATGTGTTAATTACAAGCCGATCTCTTGGAAGGATCCTTTTGCGATGAGGAGAAAATGCCGAGTCCCTAAACGCATAAGCAAATACCCTTCTTATACACAAAGAAGATAATTCCAGGACATATTATTTCCAACTACCACCCAATTCCTAATTAGATCCCAAAAGAACAAAATTTATCAATTGGGTCCCTTTTCTATCGAACATTAACTAGTCAACCCTTGTTTTAAAATCTTTTTCTCTCAAAACATAGAAAAAAACAAGAACCTGGTAGTCTCAAAGATGTCGTTTTTATCATAAATTTTAACGGTGAGGTTAATTGGATAATGTTTCCAAAGACGAGGGACCCAATTTGACTTCTTCTTTTTTTTCGCTTGATAAGAAACATGTGAGAGTTGGAGTACAATATGCCCTTTTTCCCAAGAAAATGTTGGCTCTGGGCTTTGAGCTTGAGAAAGATAAGAGGGAATTATGGCCATCCGGCAATAGCTAGTGTATCTTTTTCATACCTACGCGGAGGATTATTTGGTTACTTAAATTATGCGTGTGGTTTGTGCAAATAATAATAATAATAATTTTTTATTCTCAATCTCAAAAAATTAGATTTTGAATTGAGTTTTTTTTTTTCATTTAAATCTTGTATCTTTTGATTTTTTTTTAATTGAGATCAATTTTTTTATTTTATTAAAATTTTCTAATTTTTGAAGTTTATTTACTTCATACTTTTTGTTGTATGTTATCAATTAATTATTCACACATAGATTTATTAATTTGTTATTTAAAATTAGAGGGACTAATTTATAATTTACTTCACTTTGGTTTATTCTCTTTTTTTAAAAAAGAATTGCTTAATGGAAAATTGTTTGTCGTTCTTACTACAGTGAGTATAAACTGTAAATTATAAATTATATAGAAGATAATACCAATTCGAAACTTTTATTTTCAAAATAAAAAAAGAAAGGCGATACAAACTATAAATATAACCTTCTTGCGTTCATAAAGAAGACAGATTCAAGAACTCCTATGATGGATCCTTCAAACTCTAGAACCAAGTTTATCAGCTACGACAAGTGGATTTTGCTTAGCCAAACCTTGTCGACCATGAGTCTTGAAATCAAACGTGCACGAGTGCTCTTCAGCATGTCTATGCATCCCACAAAAGATCTTCCCACATCGGCAATTGAACCCCGTCAAGCCAACTTTCTTGTTGCAGTTCTCGCATCTCGTCTTCCTTGTCGAACTAGAAGCAGTAGCAGTAGCAGTAGCATTAGTTGTTGGAGACTTTTCATCAGAAACAACAGCTGGGTTCTTATCATCAGCTGATGGGGTGATGACAAGTTCAGACAGTTTCACCTCCTCTTTGAGGTAATCTTTGTAACACTTTGAACACAGATTTTTGTTCTCTGGACAGCCAAAGAAACCGCAACCCTTAGCACACAAAGGAGGAGTTGAGCTGTCTGTCGAAGCCATCTTTCTTGATGCTATTGTTAGCTTCTTGAAGAACTAAAGAGATTCTGATTTCTTAGAGAACAGAGACTTCTTGCGATTGCTATAATTTTGGATCTTGTTAGGCTAGTATTGTCTAAAGACATATATATATGGACACACAGATCAAAGTCGGCTAGCTCATCCCTTTCCGGCTTGGATACGTGACTTTCTTTCCTGTAAAGAACAGGAAAAGGTCGGGAAGTTTCTATCTTTTGAGTTTGATGCAAGGAGGCCATCGTTAATCAATACATAATGGGCAGCCCATCATTATTGGCCCAATTGTTTGTACTGAGACACTTCAGAGAGCTATTTATTTGTATAGATCCATCTATTCTCTCTCTTTTGTCTTTATGTTGTGTTTTTTTATTTCTTTTCGTTTTAAATTTATTTATTACGTTTGGTTTCTGTCTTAATTTCATCTTTTTATTAACTTTTGAATTAAAGGTTTTAACTTGTTTTTTTTCTATCTTAATCTCATCCTTTTTACAAGTTTTAATAAATAATTTTTAGAAAATAAAAAAATTGAAAAAAAAAAGTGAAAATGTATCCCTCATTCCCTCTAAAAGTTGAAATTTAAAAAAAAAGTGAAGCTACAAGCTACAAGATAAAATTTTAAATTTATCTCTATTGATAGTAAACAAATTTTATGTATAAAACAAAATATTTATAATATATTTTAAATATAAAAAGAGTTTTAGTTAATTTTTAAACTTTTGAATAATAGTTATAATTTTATAGTATCTCAAAAGAGTACTATAAATTACTTATTTTGATTATATAAATTTGTTAATTTTAAAAATTCAATTAAAACTCTCTTTACATTTAAAAAAAAACTATAAGTATTTTATTTTATACTCAAAATTTGTTTACTAGCATAAAGACACATTTCATTAAAAATAAAAAAATAAAAAATTCATATTTCATTTTATTCAAAATTTGTTTATTAGTATAAAGACAAATTTAAACCCATAAAAACTATTTTGGATAAAAAGAATATTTTTATCTTCACTTTGTTTTTTAATTTTATTTTTTAAAATTTTAGAGAAAATGACTAAATATATCTTCCTTTTTTTCAAAATTTATATATTTAAATTCAGTTAAAAAAAAAAGATTAAGAAGGAAAAACAGAATAAAAGGATGAAATTAAGGCAAGAAAAAAAAAAGTTAGCATCATTAGCCTAAAAATTAGCATAAGAACGAAATTAAAACAGTAGAACAACGAAATTAAAGGCAAAAAAATAAAAATATGAGTCAAGACCTCCGCAGCCATTAACTAATGAGACTGAGGGACGAGAGTATTCGGTGGAGAGAGCAGGTAAGCCTAATCTACTAAATGACCAAAAGAATGGTGCGGTTGGCATGCAAAGTTTAGAGGGGAACTCGCTAACCCACTTCATTAACAATATAAATGCAGGAACAGAACTAGCTCAAGGTGCAATGCGTAGGGATAATAGCTTGTTTTACTTCAGAATGGCTGATTTAGAAGTCATCGACTCCTCAAGGAAAAAAAACATTAGGCAACAACCATCAGTGCCATTTCTCTGGGAAGAAAGGCCGGGAGTAGCTAAAAAAGACTGGAAACCTGGGGTTTCCTCGGTTACATCAGTTCAACTACCTCCTCTCAAGCTCATCGCCTCTGTACCCTTCGACTGGGAGGAAAAGCCTGGGAAACCACTATCCTGTTTCTCACCATCACCAGTATCACCGTTTACATCCTCACCAGCAAATCTCCTTGCTTTACCATGGCACGGTATGTGCTCTCGAGGTGATGACACTCACAAGCATGAGGTTGATGATATTGGCGAGGAGAATTTTGGAGATGAGCAAGTAATTTTTAACTCAGATCTTGAATCATTCAGTTTCGAGACCGATGATTCATTTAGCTCAGCGTCGTCTCTCTTAGCTAATTGCTTGGTTTCATCAGAGGCGATTTCTACTGCTGTTCCAGCGCAAACAACTTCTCCAACAGATGATATCAATGGCCAGTTGGAAACCGCATCATCGCCAACTTCTGAAACTGATAGCAGCACAAGCAGCTATGCCACTGGCGTATCAAGTCTTGAGGGGGCTGCATTCTTGGAATGTCTCTTCCCATTATATACACCCAAATCTAGTTTTCTTGGAAAGGCTTCCCACCCCAGTAAGGAACCTTTTACTCCAGACCTAAACAGCAGAGATTTTGATTATGAACATAATAGCAGTGTCATGATAAGGAAACCTCTAACACTTGGTGAACTAATAATGATGAGCCGAAGGAGGAGTTGCCAGAGAAAAGCTGTTCAAATGAGAAAACAGAATCCATCAATGGTAAATGTCCAATTCTTGCTTCTCTATCACTGTCATCCATACCTAAAAGTCTAAAACCATAGTGGGATATTAGAGTGCCGATATTTAGTTATAAACAACCAGAAATCTGAAGGATATAGAAGTGAAAGCTATTAAAATCATGAGCAAAAATACTTAAAATCATCTCTTTCTGCAATATCATTGAATAAATAAAAAGGTTACATTTTTTAGTGATCTGCTATTTTCAACAAAAGATTAAAATAACTTTACTCTTGCCTGTTTTCAACTGTGGCAGAAATTTATGGATAAGAATGCTTTTGGATGCTGCATCTTTGGAACTAGCATAAATATGATTGAAGGGCTGCAGAGGCAGGTGCGCCAACCAAGACTGAAACTAATATAGGGCATTTGTCACTCAGAACCAAACTGAGTTCAGTTCTATAATCATCTTTTTTTCAAACTGTTTTAGCTTCCCACTTCCAGAAAAAGATGTAAACAATTTGCAGCATTCGGACTGTAACCAACTCTTGAAAATTACTAGAACTCCCAAGACATCAACTTCGAATTTTTCGTTGACTTGCTTGCTCTGCCATTGAAAGCAGTGAACAGTGATCGCTTACATAGCAACCCCAATCAACAATGAATGAAACAAAATTGAGCGCTAACAATTCATTGTATTTCAACCAGGAGATTTACAAGTTTCTGCCACTTTGCGGATTCGTTCCATGACTACAGGAATATCCTCTAGAGCTAATGTAGTGAAACAACACCGGAACCATCCTGGTTCTATGCAATGACATGCTGATCCAGGAGTTACATTGACCTTAGCAATATTCAAAAGCTTATCCCATAGCTCAAGTTCCCCTTTCTCGCTGTAAGTTGGGATTAGTCCACTCATATTAGCCCAACAGTAGAAACCAGCACTGCTTTCTATGCACCTGATTTCCAGTTGTTTGAAACCATCAACAAAAGAACGATACAATGTCAGTATCCTCTGCTTGTTAGTCTCCATGTATTCTTTGATGAATTTAGTGTCTGACAGCATTGGAATCAGTAACATCTGGCTTGGAGCAGAAATAGGAGAAAATCTAGCTAACTGTTTGCCAGCAGTCAAAACACTTCCGTTGTATGAATAGATAACCCCAACCCTAAATCCTGGAAGAGAAAGGTCTTTTGACAACCCATATATTATATGAACCCTGTCCTTATCAAATTCTTCTCCCTCAAGAATTTCGGCCATGCTCACAAATTCCTCACCTCCATACACAGACCCAGCGAATATCTCATCGGAGATAATGTGGATGTTCTTCTCTCGGGCAAAGTCTAGTATATTATAGAGGGTTTCCCTAGGAAGTATATTACCAACAGGGTTTGAGGGATTTGAAATCAGAATCCCACGAACTTTTACTCCTCGTTTTCTAGCCTGGTTGTATGCCTGTTCAAGAGCAGTAACGCTTAATAAGAAGTTGTCAGCGCTGCGGCAGTGAACAGGAATTAGCTCCACTCCTGTTCGCCATCTCACATCCCTGTCAAATCTGCAGATAGTTCTTCTCATCAACTCCAAGAGGACATTTCCATACAAAAACTCATACAAAACTACAACTTGTTTCTCACTTGATGACTAAAAAATAAAATTTGCACTCAAAGCTATATAATTACCCAGGATAATATGGTGTCGGAATAAGAAATGCATTTCCATGGTCTGCCAAGCAGAAGCATAGTATCTCAATAGCAGGAGTAGCACCCGCAGTCAGTACCATTTGGGAGGGGTCAAATGACACCACTTTTCCCATCACCTGAGACATGAAACCTGCCATAGCCTGCAAATAACTAAAGCAAGTAAATAGTATAACAAATAACTGAAACTACGCCAGAGACTCAACTCCATCAATAACTAACCACTTGTCTGCTAATACAACTAATTTTAACTTCCCATATTTGAACTCTTAGTTCCCAACCTTAAACTTAACTAAGATTCTACATTACTCTCAAAAACACCAAATTAACTCCACGTTTACTAAAATGACAGCCTTTCAACTTAAACATAGGAAAAAAGTAAAATAAAACAACCCACTATTCAAATAATGACAATTATAATAAAGAAGCAACAAAGATTCTTAATTTACCACTTTCAACTCCATCAATCCATCAAATGGCTGATATGTCGCGATCCCATTAATACTCAAATCATCACCATCCCTTCCCACCATTGCTTCCGTCAAATTCTCCACCATCCATTTCTCTATCAAATCGAAACACGACTACAAACACCAAAAAAAAAAAAAAAAAGAATGAAATTATATATACAAAAAAAATCAAACATAAAACTTTGTTAGTTTTTATTGTTCACTCACTCTATTCTCTGATAATCCAAGTTGAATAATCCCATTCGGGTTACCCGTTTTCTCATACGGGTCCTCCGAAACCTTATCCAATCCAATATAATAAGGCGAATCATTCCCTCTCCCAATCAAACTAGCCCTGCCAGATACCCTCACCGGACCAACCGACCCAACCCGACCGAGCAAATTCAACCTGGATGACGTCCTCGGAATCTCCGCAAGGTTGGGCGATGAACTAGACGGCGACGGAGGATTCGAAGAAGAGTTTGAACTGTTACCACGGTGTCGCTTTAAGTAGAGTTGGAAGAAGTAAAAAAGAGCACAAGGTATCAAGGAACCTAGTATTAAGCCTCCTCTACCTTGAACTATGCCTTGTAATGGCACTATGAGTCTCATTCCGGTGATTTTTTGACGAGTCGGGCTAGTAGGTTGTTCGTGGGGTGTTTGAGGTTGGGTCATGTGGGATTGGCGGATTGACCCGCCTGAGGATGAAACCTTGTGAGTTCTGTACGAGGACGAGGATTTTTATGCTAAGATTGTTAAGAAAGAGATAAAGAGAAAGCGCAGGGTGTGGTTTATTTATTTTTAATTTTTTTTCCCTTGTTTTTTTTGAGCGTTGTGCGTCAGTTGAGTGTGAGAGAGGGAAAGATTGGATTTTGTGTTGGTGGCTTATAATTTCGGAGTTTGGATTTTAGGTTTTTGGCTTTTTGAGTTTGGTTTTTGCCTAACTCTATAATTCCCACCAAATAAAAGTCTGCTCTATAGCTAACTAATTTATTATTTGCACCTAGCCTGTAGGGATGGAATGGCAATTGAAATTCCATTGGATAAGAGGTAGACATATAAGAATGTTTATTTCCATAAAGGTTTTTTTTTTAAGATATGAATTCTATTTTTGTTTTTTCGAGATTTTTTGCATTAGGTCGTTTATTATAATATCATTAATCAATAATCGATATATTTATTTTTAATTTTTTAAAATTTTTTACTTTATAATATCACGTATCGATCATTTGTTGGTGACGTTATAATATATAGTTTGAAATAAGAAATTTTGAAGAATAAAATTCTTCAATCAAACTAAAAAAGGGAAAATTTAAAACAAAAAAAATTGAAAATATATAGAATTCAAATGTGAAAAAAAAAAAACCACTTCTGTAAAGATGATAGATAAAAATAGTAGATTTGTGTAGATATGAAAATAAAATATCTTTTTATGTACTTTTATATGTTCAAATTTATATAAATAAAAAATTATTATATTTTAGGATTCAATGATATATAATTTTTTTTAATTGTAAAAAAATTTATGTGCTTTGTGCTTATTTAATGAAAATTTGTAACCCAAAATATAAAATTGGAAGTAGGTATGGATGATTGAAAATTGCATCCGATGGAATTTGAAAGCAAATATGAAAGTTAGAAGGCATTTTGCAAATCATGTGGTTTTCCACCTAATAATGTATGCATTTTGCAAGATTTTATCCATGTGTATTGTTTGTATTATCATAATCTATGGAAAATATGTAAACTTTTTTTTTAATAAAAAAATAAGTGATATGTAGACTTGGTCTATTTAATAATTTCTCATGGAATTCCATGGATCATCATTGTGATCCCGTAAAAAATTGAAATACAACTAGTTCAATGTTAGGATTTAATTCAAGATCTTTCTAAATTAAGGAGGTATTTGATAACCTATTTAAAAAGTTTTAAAAATTAAGCTATAATACTTAATATAAAAATTTTGTTTGATAATCTAAATAATTTTATATTTAAAATTTAAATTCGATCGAATCTACTTAATTAGATAAGTTAAAGTTTTTAACTTAAAACTTTTTTTTTAACACGATCAGTTGAAAGATTTTTAAAAATGATTATATAGCCCTCATATATTCTTATAATCTTAGTTATACAAGCTGATTGAAAAACGATCTCTACTATCTCTATTGTTAAAACATAGGAGACCTTCATTGTCGATACTTCTATGTCATCATTGTCAACAAGCTACTAGTTAGAAGAAAACCAAGTAAGCATATCTTTTATCTTTGAATATGCAAAAAGGTACTTAATAGCCATGTTTCAAAATTATATCAAAACCCTTCATTGTTTACGATTACGGATGTCTAGTTCATATCATTAAATCATTGAATACTTCTATAGTTGCTCCCTTTACTACTAACACAATTGCACATAACCTAAAAGAACTATGTTGTTGTAAGATTCTGGATAGAAATCCACATTAGGCTAAGCAAAAAAAAAAAAAAAAAAATCCACATTTTGCCAATACACTCAAAACCTAGCATTCTAACAAACTTTCTTGGACACCATATTCAATTTCTCTCCCTTGCTACTGCTCCATAAAAAATAACACATGGGTCCAAATCTTAATTGCGTCTTGATCCCTTTAAATTAATCAAGATCCAATTTCAGCATTATGTTTAATTCAATGTATTGATAACATTCAATACTAGGCATAAAACACACAAATTGTTAGTAGCACCTTTTGATGACAAACTTAAACAGAAAATAAGGGGATTTGACTTTAGAGATATTGAGTGAGAGAAAAGAAAAAGGCTTACCGGTGGTATCGGAGAAGACAGACTAGCCTAAGAGCCCAAATGTCGAAGAAACCAAACCAAACTAATACTAATCAAAGGTTAAAATTGTAATGTATATAGCATTACTATGTTTAAATACGAGTACTTATCAAACAACTTTATTATATTCACTATTGAATTTTCGGTAAATACTAAACGAGTTTGTCGGTAATATATTTAGTACTTAATTATTCAAGACTTAAAATTCGAGTACTTAATAGATTCGGCACTTAATTTTTAGTTTTATCAAACACCACCCGAGTTTTAACTACTTAAAATAAGAGTAAATTATTAATTATTCCCTCTCGTTTTGAGAAACGAATTAATTAGTCCTTCTAGTTTTAGAAACGAATTATTTAGTCATTTTTACTATTTTTAAATTTATTTTGATTTTTTTTGTTTTAAGGAATAGAAAAAAAAAAAAAAACAAGTAAGAATATAGAAAGATTGATTGTAAAAAAGAAGAATTTTTTATAAAATAAAAAATATTTAATTATTCGTAGTCAATACGAGTTAAAAAAAAAAACTAAAAAATTAGTTTTTAAAACTAGAGAGACTCATTAATTCATCTCTCAAAATGAGAGGGACTAATTTATAATTTACTCCTTAAAATAATTGTGAGTTGTTTTTTTTTTTTTTTTTCAGAATTTGAAAGATTCATTATTTGATTTTAGACCAAGCAATATCTTTTCACTTCTGTCTAGCTCTTTTTACATCATTGTAAGCTGAATTTGATTCCGAACAACTTATTGACATTTTGTAAATGATTTTATGAAATTAAATTAGCTAGCATCTATAATATATTAATTAATATTTATGTTTTTTAATTGATGTTTGTAACAAACAAATTATTAAATGCAAACGAAGGATGGTGAGCCATGGAGAAAAATAAGTTGCGAGGTTCCTTGTTGAAAATGAAAATAAGATGTTTTGGTTAACTGGGAGGAAAGAAGGGTTGGAGTGGGGAGAGAGAGAGAATGATACGTCCTTCACTTGCACAAATTTAATCAAGAAGGAACTTCTGAAGAATGTGGTGCATCCAACTAACATACCTCTTGGCAATGGTTATTATAATCACAACCGTTATAAAATGTGAATAATCTAAGTGACTAATAATAATAATAATAATAATAATTTCCTTTAAAGGCACCGTGAAAAAAATCTCCCTCTTGTCTTATCATTTTTAGTTTAAATTTTAGACGGTCAAGTTTTTTTTTTTAAAAAAAAAAATCGGTTGATACACGAATTGACTTAAGATTATATTTAATTATAAAAAAGAAAAAAAGTATAGGATATTCCTTCCTAATTAAATAAAATTCATGTAGTACAGAAATATAAATAGAATAACATGAATTTATCCATTAATAATTTACTGCACATGCATATTAGAAAGAGGGATTTGAAACTCTTTTTGAATAAGAAAAAAGAAAAGGGAAAATAATACTTGTCTTGCATAAGAAATTATAATTTTAGGATGTGGATAGTAAATTATTATTGTGTGCATAGATTAGTATTTTTTTTGTTAGAGTGAATACGTTCATCTGCTCTTATATAATAAGCTAATTTTCTAATATATCTTTTTTTTTAAAAAAAGCTTTTAATCTGTTATTATATTTTGAAACTGTTTATAATCTATTATTTTGATCAAAATTTCTATAAAAATTTTTAAAAATTAATCTTCATATTAGTAGATATAGATCACATGTGTCAAATAACAAAGACAATTTTATCAAATAACATACTATGTATAAATCACATACTTAATTTAATTTACTTTAGTAAATTTTTTTATTAAAATGATAGATTGAAAATAGCTCAAAATATAAGAACATATTAGATACCTTGTTTTTTAAAGACATATTGAAAATTTTGTTTATTATATAAGAAAAACGGATGGCATTAATCTTTTTTATTATAGAAGTACATGAATTAAAAGTTTATGCCTGCAAATAGAATTTTAAAATTAAAAAAAAAGGAAAGAAAATAAACCCTACTTTTTTATGTACCGTCCTCAAAAATAAAATTTTTTTATCCATTCTCCAAAAAGAAGAAGAAGAAGAAGAAGAAGAAGTATGCTATGATTTTATTTTATCAACATGAAAAGGAAAGGGTCCTCAAGAACCGGCCTGGTACGAGAGCAGTCCACTGGGCCTGTCCAATTCTGGCCCATATCACCAGCAGCAGCTCGATGGGCTGCTAGGTGCATCTGTTCATAGCAGGAATATATATATATATATATATATATATATATATATATATATATATATATATATATATATAGGAAATGAAAGACTAAATTGTAAAATATCTTGAAATTTAAAAGATAAAATAAATTTTTTTGAACCATTTTTTTTAAAATAATATGATTTTTAAATATTTTTCTTCACTAGAATTTTATTGAGAAATTGACAAAAAAAAAAAAAAACTTTAAAAATCCTCTAAATTCCTTTTCTTTCTCTATTCCTAAGTTGGGAGAGAAAAGAATAGGAATGGAGAGAATTTTGTGAATTTCTCTTTTTGTCAATTTCTTAATAAAAACCTAACAGGAGGCAAAATTAAAAATTTTCTAGTTTAGAAGATTTTTTTCTTTTTGTCCAAATTCATAGGCATTTTGAATTTAGCTTTATTTGCAAAAATATAAAGAGAATCTTTTCATTTGATTTTCTCTGATTGGTTAATTATTTTTTTTTAGAAATTCTAAATGGAAGAAAAAATAAAGAATATGACTTAAAGTAGCAAGGGACAAGAAGGACAGCCTTGGAGTATCTCCAGTGTCTCCAATTGACTAGGAAAGGAAAAATGTACGGTGTCTCCGACTGATTTAATATATATATATATATATATATATATATATATATATGCTTATTAAAAAATAATCTATTGTTTCTCTAGAATTACCACAAAGAATAATGCAAATCGTACATAATAGTTTTACATAATTAATTTCTCAAAAAATATCAAGTGCTAAATTTATGAAAATTACTGAGAGAATCTATTTATATATATAATGCATGAGATATCCATCCACTAATTCATATTTTTTGGTAAGTAAATTCTGTAAAATAATTATGTATAATTAACATTATTTGTTAGGGATTCCGGCCTATTAATTTAATTTTTTATCCTATTCATAAAAAAAATATCATATATGTTATCTATTTAAAACTTACCATATAAATCTTTATTAAATACACATTAATTTATCGATCTATTTAATATCCGTTAAAAATAATTTATAAAAAATATTCATTTTAATCCTTATAATTTAAAAAAAAAATTAATTTTTTTGTTTGCATTTTAGTCATTTATTTATAATTTTTTTTATTCTCAATGTTTTTGAAAAAAACATTTTGATCGTTAATTTTTAAAGTTTATGTAATTAAATCTTTGTATGTTAATAAAAAAATCAAAATAAATTAGTAAGTATTAATAAGAAAAAAAGTGGGTAAATATTTTTTTTAGGCTTACCCACTTCAATGCCTGGTGAATATTTTTAATTGTTATTTATTGGATTGAGTAAAATAAATACCTATTTTGCATGGGTTTATCCACTTCAATACTTATTGGATATTTTTAATAATTATTTATTGGATTCAGTAAATTAAATACATGTTTTGTACCTTATGCGCTTCAATACCTACTACTCATCCATAATTCAACAAGAAATTTTATAATACTCAATGAGCAACTACTCGGCAAGTACGGTAATTACTGCATAGATCCATTTGAAGGAAAAAGATAGACAAAAAAAAAAAAATCTTTTTTAAAAAATTAAGCAAATGTGAAAATCTTCTTGTCATTTTTTATGAGTCCGGATGTAATTTTATATATATTTTTCTTTTTTTTGAGTGTATTTATAAAATAATTATGATACATGACACTAATTACTTGTTGAGTGTTATAAAATTATCTGAATTCAACAACCTCTGCTAAATCTTTTTCGGGAAAAAAAGTACAAAAATCGCTGGCTACACATGCTAATTGGCTTGTATATATAGACTAGCAAGTAGAGCAAGTAAGCAGTATCCCTGGCTAAAAGTTTCTCACATACTCTATCCAAAACAAACTCTTTGTTAAATATTCATACACCATGGTCTCTGTGCTTGAACGTTGTCAAGTTTCTCCACCACCTGGTACTACCTCTGACAAAACACTCCCTCTCACCTTTTTTGATCTTCGTATGGTTCATTATTCACCCAAACATCTCTTCTTCTATGAAAATACCAATATTTCCAAGAGCCATTTTATTGAGTCCATCTTTCCAAGCCTTAAACATTCACTTTCCATCACCCTCAAATACTTCTACCCATTTGCTGGGAACTTAGTATTTCCTCCAAATTCTGCTAAGCCTGAAATTCGTTATTTAGAAGGTGATTCTGCCTCATTAATCTTCGCAGAGTCGAGCAGTGATTTTAATCATCTTACTGGAAAACAAACACGAGATGCCACAGAATATCTCCCCTTTCTCCCTCAACTTCCACCAGAGACCATGTCACATGGTACACGAGTAGTTCCTATTTTGGCTTTACAAGTAACCGTCTTTCCAAATTCAGGCATTTGTGTGGGAATCCATGTCCGCCATGCGGTCGGTGATGGCAATTCTTTCCTCACAGTATTCTTTAAAACGTGGGCATCAATTACAAAAGGAGGAGGAGATGCAGCATGTTTGAGTGGTGAATTGGTGCCATGGTACGATAGGACTCGGCTCAGGGACCCTGAAGGGCTTGAACTCGAGAACATTGTGTGGAATTATGTCAAGCAACAAAGATCAGAACCTGATCATCAGTTGCCTACCGATATTAATGCTAGAGCCAGATTTGTAATAAGTCATGCCACTGCTCAACAGCTCAAGAAGCTAGTGTTAGCCCGATACCCCTCTATATCATATGTATCAACTTTCACTGTTGTATGTGGATATGTATGGTCTTGCTTGGCAAAGGCTAGAGCAGCATGTGGTAAAGATGATGATGATGAAGTGGGACGTTTCCTTTGTGAAATAGATTGTAGAACTCGATTGGACCCGCCTTTTTCTACAACTTATATTGGCAACTGTGTGGCGCCTTCCATAGCTTGTGCTAAGATGGCCCAGTTGAAGGGAAGAGATGGTTTTGTGATTGCAGCTAAAAGCATAGGAGATACTCTTCATAAAAACCTGCACCAAGCAGGAGGAGTATTGAAAGGTGTTAAGAATTGGGTGCCAGGGTGGGAAGCAGCTCGCGAAGGTTGGTTTTTGGGAAGTAATGGATCGCCCAAGTTTAAGATGTGTAGTTTTGATTTTGGGTGGGGAAGACCTAAAACGAATGAAGACCTTTGCATTGATGAATTCGAAGGAATTGCACTATATGATGGTCAAAACGAGGGGGAGACTGAAATTGTCGTAGCAAATCTCAAGCCTATAGTGGATGCTTTTTCATCCATTTTCAGCACTGGCCTTCAAACTTTAAATGATCAAGTTAAAAAAATTGGAGCAAACCACTACGCGAGGAGTAAGATCTAATTAAGGTTGGAAACTGAGATTTGTTTAATTTTCTTGTTGTATTACCTTTATCCACTCGATTGATCAAGTGTTGTTTTTTATTTTCTTATTTTATTTGATGTAATATGAAACTAGAGTACTGAGTTATAAATTAATCATTCTAGTTTCAAGAAATAAATAAATTAATTCTTTTTGTTTAAAAAACTAATATTTATATTTAATTTTTTTTTTTGTAATTTCATCTTTTTCATTCTTTTTGAATTTAATTTAAAAAAAATAGAAAAAAATAAGTAAAAAATAAAAAAGAGAAAATATGAACATACTTTATGAAACAAAATTAATTATAGATAACAAATGATTTTAATGCCTTTGTTCTAAATATAATTTCAATGTCTTTGTCTATCTATAGATGACATATGGCAAAAGAATTTTGTATTAATGGTTCAAATATATTATATTTTCTTGTGCTATGTGATACAAAAAGTATTTTTCTTTTCTTTTTTTAGAGTAAAACTATTTATATGCCCTTATATAATATTTAAGTTTTTTTATCCTTTTTTAGATTTTTAATTGCATTTCATCGGTTTCTAATTTTTTTTAAAAAAATATTCAATTTGTCATTCTGATCAAATTTTCTTATCATAAATTTTTTTTGACCGAAATACTCTTTATTAAAATGCAAAACAAAAAACACAAAAACACATGACCTGCATATTTAATTTTTAAAGTTTTTAAAATTTTAATATATTTTTTATTTTTTGCTTTACAATCATGAGCATTCAGTAAAAATAATTTATTTTTTCAAAAAAGTTGATCGAAAAGATAGATTGAACATTTTAAGTACTTTAAAAATAAATAAAATATAATTAGAAATCTAAACACCTATTAAAGATTTTAAATATTATACATCAACAACTATATATATATATATATGAAAATCGATATTATATTAAAACAATATTAGCACATGGGAGATCACTAATACTCTTCAAAACATATGGTATATTTGCAGCCAAGATACTAATTTTAGATCTCGTTCTAGACTTTCTTTTCTCATGCTACCAGGCATCTCATTTGATTCTTTGGTCACTGACCTTAAGGATTTGATATACCAGAAAATACAGTTAAAATCATGCCGCATTCTCCATAGCCTCCCATCCGACTGTCCTCTATCCAGCTGACCATATTTGATTCTTTTGGTCAAAAAATGAAGGAGAGAACGAACGACAGTTGAGGGAGAAGAAGAATAAGAACAGAGAGAGAGAGAGAGAACTGCAGCTAAAGAAGAAGAAGAATCGAAGATTTTGGATTAAAAAAAAAAGAAAAAAGAAAAAAGGAGAGAACGATAGTTGAGGGAGAAGAAAAATAGGGGGAAAAAATAAAGAGAAGCAATCTGTTTTAAAGTAAAAGTGCATACGTTAGGGCTTTAGTCTTTAGGTTATTTCAGTTTAGTATTTAGTTACAGTTGATTCTTGCAATTGCATCCTTCATTTTGAAGAAATCAGACTAAATCAACAACAATACCATGTGAAGAGACAATTTCAGTTATTTAGTATTTTTGTGTGGCTATTATTGTTATTTTTATCCCGAAATTTTGCAGGTGTTAGATGTACGTGTCCTTGAATTATGACAAAATTTTCAATAATTCTTCCTTCTATTGGGTATTTATTTTGGGATCCTTTAGTTTCTGCTGTAGATTTGATGGGGTCTGGGATCTGTTTCAAATTATTTATAATTTGGACCAATTTTGGATTATGAGCTTGGGTTTAAAATTTTTATATATTTAACATGCATCTATCATTGAGTTAGGCTTTAAATTTCAGAATTTTTAGAAGTCTTTTGATATTTGTTTATTTTTCTTAGTTTCTGCCATAGATTTGTTGTTATATAAGGATTGTCTCTAATAATTAATAACTTGGATCAATTATGAATATGATTTTAGGTTGAAATTTTAATATGTTTTTCATGTGCATGAGATTTTTGTTTCAAATTCTAGAATTTTTAAATATCATATGGTATTTATTTTAAATTTTTTTAGTTTATGCCGTAGACGTGATATTTTATCTAAAGACTCTTTGAAATTATTAATAATTTAGATCAGTTCGACATATGATTTTAATATAAAATTTTAATATGTGTTATATGAATTTTAATATATGTCACATGTACAAGTTTTAGATTTTTTTTTTCAAGTTTCCGAATTTTTGGATGACATTTTGTGTTTATTTGGATTTTCTTTCCTTTATATTTAATTATAGTTCCATTAAAATTCCTGCACACTAATTATCTTTTAGGTCAAAACATTTTCTCAATTGGTTTTCATAGAAAAAACAATAAATATCTCTCGTCTTATCCTTATTTTTAAGATATGTCAGTCACCTTAAATTTCAAGTCAGAAAGTTGGACATCCAAGTGAATATTACGACAAGGGAACTCTATGCAAGGTGGCCTATTCACTGAAAATTATGAATTGTTCTGCATGGCATACGTACCCATCTAATTATTGATATTTTCCCATTTCAAGGCAGCTGAGGGAAAAGAAGAATAGGAAAGGAACAATAAAAAATGGAAAAGAGAGGAGAGAACGACAGTTGAGTAAGAAGAAGATTAGGAAAAAGAAAAGAGAGCGGCAGTTGAGGGAGAAGAAGTATAGGAAAGCAAGTTGCAGCTTTATTCTGGCCACAATTCCAGTGGCTAGGAATCAAGAGAGAGCATTTAACGGAGGAAGAAAGGAAGCCAAATGAACTTGCAAAGGAAAGGAAAGACCATGGCAGATTCAACCAGCGGGCCCTCCACCAAGATGATGACAAAACTGGAGCGAGGAAAGAAGAACAATGATAAAGGGAGACTGTGAAAAAAAAAATAGAGGAAATGAGACGACAGCATTTAATGGGCTGCAGCAAATAATGGGCAAAGACGAAAAACGACGGAAGGCTGCATGAAGTAGTTGCATAGATCCATGCAGTGGCAAAAACGCAATAACAAAGATGCAGAAGGGCAAAGAACACAAAAAAGGGTATAAAACAGTAGAATATACAGTGTTTTGATTTATTTGGTATTTATATTGAGATCCTTTAATTTCGGTGGCAGATTTCATGTGGTCTAGGAGTTGTTTTGAATTATTTATAATTTGAACCAATTTTGGACTATGAGTTTGGTTTGAAATTTTTATATATTCAATATGTATCTATAGTTGAGTTAGGTTCTAAATTTCAGAATTTTTTGAGGTTGTTTGATATTTATTTATTTTCCTTAGTTTTGCCATAACTTTGTTGTTGTACAATGTCTCAAATTATCAATAACTTGGATCAGTTATGGTTATGATTTTTGCCTGAAATTTTAATATGTTTTACATGTACATTTCTTTGATTTTTGTTTCAAATTTTAAAATTTTTAGATATCATTTGGTATTTATCTTAAATTCTTTTAGTTTCTATCATAAATTTAATATTGTCTAAGGACCATTTGGGATGATTAATAATTTGAGTTAGTTTGACATGTGATTTTGATATGAAATTTTAATTTGTGTCACACGTACACGTCTTAGATCTTTAATTTTTATTTTTTTAATTTTAGAATTTTTGGATGACATTTGGTATTTATTTTGATTTTCTGTCCTTTATATTTAACTTTAATTCCATTTAAACTCCTAAGCACTGATTATCTTTCAAGTCAAAACATGTCTTCAGCCGGTTCTCATCGATAAAACAATAAATATTTCACATCTTAACCTTATTCTTAAAATATCTCAATAACCTTTCTAAACCAGACGATGTGTTTCTTATTTGCGCAAAAATTGGGAAAATCCGTAGTAGAATTCCAAGAAAGTTTTTGGTCCATCCATATTTTGTGCGTTACGTGACAAAACTGACCGACGATGTTTTTAACAGACAAAGCCGACCCTGATTGTGCCATTGTGGCCTATGCTAATCTTTGTGGTCCAATCTACAATGACTTTCTATTTCATCAGCAGCCACCCTTTATCTCTCGACTACTATCAAATTATCCAAATAAAATTATAAAAAGAACGTATGAATAAATAAATTAGAAAGAAAAAGAGAAAACTTTGGTCCATAGAACTGAAATAAAAGCGGTAAGAAAAATAGGAAAAACCAGGATTAGATTCTCGCTCTCTATTCTTGGTGATTGATTAAAAGGAATCCACCATTATTCTTGGTGATTAACATATAATTCGTTATTAACTTTTGTCATTATTTTTTATGATTGATTGAAAAATATTGAAAGATTAATTATAATTAATCTTCAAAGAATTGTAAAATCAATTAGTTTTAATTTACGAATTACATTCTTTATATAAATTGAGAAGAAGGCGTACATTAGCACATATTGAGATGTGTTGTTTGATTGTGAAATAGATCCAATTTTCATATATTTCTTACGAACATTGTTCAATATTATTTTATGGTATCAAAGCCATAAAAGTTCTAGCCTTTCTCTACAAAATCTGATGTCTAAATCTATAACTTTTCTTCATTTGTGAAAGATAAATATTCAAAAACAATTTTCATCAAATTAGATGGCAAAAATTTTGCCTTTTGAGATTTTTGTTTTCGAATTTTGTACAAGGAAAGGCTTACTTAGTCTTCTTGATGATTCTATAAAAGAACCTACTGATCACATTGAGAAATCCAAATGGGTCGTCAAGAATGCCAAAGTTGTCACATGGCTTCTCGGTTCAATCATTCCAGAAATTGGCATGGGGCTTTGCTTGCTTTGTTGTGCTTAAGAAATGGAGACTCGCCTAAAGGGAATATATAATCAATCAAGTCACACTCGTCATTTTTGGATAGAGCAAGAACTATCTAAATATGTACAAGATGATCATCACATCCATTCCTGTTATTTTGGAATAATCAATTTGTGGTTTGAACAAGACATGTTGTTTCAAACCAAATTATCTTCAATGGTATTAATAGGGGTAATAAAAGATCGTGTAAAAACAAGGATTGTCTAATTTGTGATGAAATTGCGCCGTAATATAAGACTATGAGAGTCGATCTTCTTAATTGAGAGACTCCTTGATATTAATATTGTCTTTTCGACTTTCTTTCGAAGAGACTCATCTTTAAACTCAAAATTTTCTCAATCACTCATTGATAGATTCGACAATGATAACCTCTCATACACCTTCTAAGTCTCGTATTGATTTCATTCACATTTAGTGTTTTGAGTGCCATGAATATGGGCATGGGGCTCGTGATTATTGTAATAAAAATTATTATAACTATTGTAAGAAATATGGTCATGTTATACCCGAATGCGGGAAATGAGCTAGGCAAAATTTCCATCAAAACCTATCACACTAGTCACTAGTATACCATTCCACATGCTTCATTGATATCGAGGCAATTTAACAAACCGTCCAAGAGTCCGTGGCTACTACTCTTCCAAGTACAATCTCTAGTGCTCTTATGCTTGCTACCTATTATGATAAGAAACCGATTACTCATACTTCACATATTAGCTCTAACAGACCACAATGACCCTCCAGCTACTATCCCGATTCCAGCGAACCCCGATCCGATCATCGGTAGTCATCTCGCATCATAACGAATCCGGATCCGACAACGAACGACCAACTCTCATCTCCGATTGATTGAATATCGGTCTCCATTAAGGTTGAATAAGTCAAAGCCGACCCTTACTTTATAGTCCGAATCCATTCTACTTTTTACGATAACTTATTTTTTTACCTTTTATTTTATTTTAATTTTGTTGTAATATGTATTAAATTTAATTCATTTGATGTGTACGTAATTAATTAAATTATTGTGATATACTTGTAAATTAATTAAATTATTGTTATGGTTGTATGACTTTGAATTAGTGTCATGCTTGTATGATTTTGAATTATTGATGTGGTTGTGTGATTATTGAGTTGGCATGATTAAGAGACACTTGATATACCAAACTCCGTAAAAATGTCAAGACACGAAAATATCAAGGAAAAATATGGTATTAATTTATTCTATAAATATTTACCATCGCTTATGTAATTGCATTGTGTCGGTTTGAATCTTGTTTATTAGACTATTTTTGTTAATGACTTAAATCGTTTATGCGTTCGATTTCATCTAAAATATACAATTTTAAATCATGATGGTTCGAATCTCATTTGCGGATCATTTTTTTGCCCATCGCAACAATTAATCAATATGGTATCAATTTTGGCTAAAAAGGTCATGATATTCAAAGTCGTGTTGATTCGAACGTCACTATTGAATTGTTTTTTTATCACTTTTGCTAATTTTATCGATTTTGCCAACTTCGTTGTTTTCATTGCTTTAGTCGTCTTTGTTTGCCTATTTGCTATTTTTATCATTTTTACAAAATTTGTCATCGTTTTTTGTCAACTTCAAGGATTTTTGCTAATTTTGTCATTTTTATCGTTTATCGTCATTTTTGCCATTTTGCCTATTTGTGGATTTTGTCGATTTGTCGATTTTTTCTATTTATCGATTTTGTTTATTTTGCTATTATTTACCTATTTGTCCATTTTTATCGATTTTACGTGTTTTGCCTATTTATTGATTTTGTCAATTTGTCGATTTTGTCTATTTTGCCATTATTTTCCTATTTGCCCATTTTTATCGATTTTACTTATTTTGACTATTTGCTAATTTTTTCAATTTATCGATTTTATCCATTTTACCTATTTTATCATTATTTGCTTATTTGTTCATTTTTTCCGAGTTTGCCTATTTTTACCTAGTTGTCTATTTATCGGTTTAGCTAATTTGCCAATTTTATCTATTTTGTCATTATTTGCCTATTTTGCTGATTTTCTTATTCTATTTATTTGTCTATTTGTTTTTTTTAGCCTCGTTTTCACGCTCATCATTTAAGTCGCATTATCCAAATATCTTTGCATTTATCACATCTTTTGTTTTCTTATCTACTTATTACGAGTGAGGACAAGATCTTTGACCGATCAAGTCCCAAATCACTCGTCTAATTGAAAAACGTTTAAAAAATAAGTATAAACTTTCATCATTAAAAAATCAAAAATCAAATCAATGTTGTATGCAATACAACTTATCTTAGGTGAGACGGGGTAGGGTGATATTTAATCTTTCCTACACGTAATAAACCCCTTATTCAAAACTACGAACGGACCGGTCATAGGGTTTCCTAGTAAACATAATACTAGGTGGCGACTCCGAGTTATTTTTGCCCATTTTTTCTATTTTCGACCATACTCGTCTCCCTCACCTCTACATCACCCTACAACATAATGATGTCTCAATCAGAGAAATATTTAGGGTTAGGCTTTGTATGTAATTTTTGAATTTGATTTTTGATGATATAATGAATTTTTTTACCTATATGTCAATTTGTGTAATTTGTCCGCCTTGTTTAAATTCATGATTTTTTTATCATTGTTTACCAAGTAATTTTGTCCCTACTTATTTTTATTTTATTTTGTACTATTATTTATGCCTTTATTTTTATGTTTGGGAATAGATATGGAATAATGCCTATGCACACACTACACTCAACATTATTTTTTATGTTTATCACACTCTCGTCACAAGACTTAGGGAGGTACTAGTGATGGCTCGATGGGTTTCATTTCGGATAGATACTCATAAAATCTTAACTCTTCTCGTTAGTTGCTATCGTATGATGGGTAATCGATGATTTTTCACCCTTACCAATCATCGTCTTGAGCGGCCTTAACAATTCATTATGATTCATCGGGCTTGAAGAGACCCTTTTGAGA